GGTGTCCCAACGAGTGGGACATGACTGAAGCAACTTGGCACGCACAGACTCTGGCTGGAGCCAGATGATAGCCTGCCTGTTCCATGCAGCGCCTTGCGTCAAGGCAACCGTATGCGTCATCTTGTGATCGATGCTCTATCATTTTAATAAACACCGTATTACAAAGGGCTCTGAGAATTAAAAACACTAAGGAGATCTGCCCTTGAGAAGGCTATGATTAGGAGTATATTTCCCGCTCTTTATTACAACCCACCCTGTTCTCTATCTGCATGAGACAATTAAAAATCTTACCTATAACAATAATGGCTAACACGGGAATTACTCTGTGCTGGGCACCGCACTGAGGTCTTGGCACACATCGTGTCAATTAATCATCTTCACTCTGTGAAGGAGGAACTCTTACTAGGCCCATTTTGCAAACAAGGAAATGTCTAAAGTGGTGAAGTAACTTGTTCAAGGTCACCTAGGCAGTAAGTGGTGGGACCAGGATATACACCCAGGGCTGTCTGATTCCGAAGCTTGACTGTTAGGTTGACATACAGGTGGCACTTGGAGTCTCTGATGCTCACTTTAAGGCCAATCAAGCCATTGGAAGTGCTTCCCTGATAGCTCAGTTGGTAAAGAATCCTCGTGCAATGCAGGAGACCCTGGTTCAATTCCTGTGTCGGGAAAATCCGCTGGAGAAGGTATTATAGGTTACCCACTCCAGTATTCTTGGGCTTCCCTTGTGGCTCAGCTGTTAAAGAATCTGCCTGCAATGCAGGAGACCTCAGTTCGATCCCTGGGTTAGGACGATCCCCTGGAGAAGGGAAAGGCTACCCACTCCAGTATTCTGGCCTGGAGAATACCGTGGACTGTATACCCCATGGGGTCCAAAATAGTTGGACACAATGGAGTGACTTTCACTTTTTACTTTCACAAGCCCTATTAGTTATCTATCTAGCATTATCTTAACATATTTTAAAGCCATTGGAAGGAGGATCACAGATACCTACAGGGTATGTGTGACTGGATCAAAAAGGCTCAGGGGTCCGAAAAACACAGTGTTACAGGAAACAAAGATCTCTCCCTCTCTGTGGCCGCAGTACAATCTTTCTCAGATGTGACAGCAACATTTTGGCCACAAGAGGGCAGTAAAGACAAAGCTACCAGGACCAAATCACACCAGATTCCATCCAGGCCTCAGCAGCAAGTGGAGACCTTGGCTGCAATCGTTTCTTCTATTGATATTACGGCCACTGTCATAAATCTTCAGCTGAGATGTACTGCAACGGCTGATGCAAAGAGCTAACTTAGGGGTTCTTTGCAATTTCCAACAGAAACTAAGCTTAATGGGTTTGTATTAATGACTGTATTCATGCCACCTGTATTTATTGAGCACCTACTGTATTCCAAGTACTGTGCTGCTGCTGAGGATGACAGAGAAGTAAACTGAGAATTCTCCTGCAGGCTCCTAAAAGGCACCTGCAACCTCAGAGGAGGTACTTGCTGTCTTCCTGGAAGGGCCTGGGATGAATGGCATCGCAGGAGGTGACATGGCAGTTGGGCCTTAAAGGAAGTCTAGGATTAGTACAGCCACTATGGAAAACAGTGTGGAGATTTCTTAAAAAGCTGGAAATAGAACTGCCATATGACCCAGCAATCCCACTTCTGGGCATACACACCGAGGAAACCAGATCTGAAAGAGACACATGCACCCCAATGTTCATCGCAGCACTGTTTATAATAGCCAGGATATGGAAGCAACCTAGATGCCCATCAGCAGATGAATGGATGAGGAAGCTGTGGTACATGTACACCATGGAATATTACTCAGCCATTAAAAAGAATTCATTTGAATCAGTACTAATGAGATGGATGAAACTGGAGCCCATTATACAGAGCGAAGTAAGCCAGAAAGATAAAGACCATTACAGTATACTAACACATATATATGGAATTTAGAAAGATGGTAATGATAACCCTATATGCAAAACAGAAAAAGAGACTCCGATGTATAGAACAGACTTGTGGACTCTGGGAGAAGGCGAGGGTGGGATGTTTCAAGAGAACAGCATCGAAACACGTATATTATCTAGGGTGAAACAGATCACCAGCCCAGGTTGGGTGCATGAGACAAGTGCTCGGGCCTGGTGCACTGTGAAGACCCAGAGGGATCGGGTGGAGAGGGAGGTGGGAGGGGGGACCGGGATGGGGAATACATGTAAATCCATGGCTAATTCATTTCAATGTATGGCAAAAACCACTGCAATGATGTAAAGTAATTAGCCTCCAACTAATAAAAATAAATGGAAAAAAAAAAAAAAAAAAAGGAAGTCTAGGATTCCCCCATATAGCGAAGGCTGGGGAGAGGGCATCTCAGGCAAAGGGAACAGGAGAATCGGGACTGCACAAGTCCCTGGCCTGGAAGTGATTTTTTTTTTTTTTTTTACTACTTTCCAGGGGTTGGAATTTGGTGGTTATCTTTATGTGAAGATTCCTGAGATTCTCCTGTCTCTTTTGGTCAGGTTTGTAAACATAGACAGGAGTGGAGCTACAAGCTCCAGTTCAAGGAGGGAGTGGGAACCATCTTTTCTAGAAAGTTCCTATGGTTATATTCTTCCTGAGCGCATTTGTGGGAGCTAAAGCAAAGGCTTCACAGATCTTCCTCTGGAACAAACCCAAAGGGACAAGGTGGGAACCCCTTGGTGCACGTCCCACCCACACTCAGTTAGAGACGTCTGAGGGCCCAGCTCTCAACTTGGAAAAGCGGCCACAGTCCAGTTCCCCAGCAGCTGGATTTCCCGATCTGTTCTTCCTGCATGAGCTCTTTTTCCACAATGGTCTTTCTAGCCCTCCCCCCTTTTCTCCTGCTTTAGGCAGATTCTGTGTCAAATAACAGCTGCCCTGGCAGTTGATCTGAGCCTCTGGGTATAAGGTAGGGTAGGAGGTCATGAGGACTCTGAGGTTAGCCCTGAGCTCAAATCTAGGTCATGTCCACACCATGGCTATGTGAGCTTGGACTTGAGGCTCAGCCTTTCTGGGCCTCCATTTCTTTATCTGAGAAATGAGATTCAGAGTCCTTTCCTCACAGGCTTATGCTGAATAGTCGCAAAGGTAAATGTGAGCTGCAGTCCCAAGTGAGGACCTGGGCTCTGGACCCCAGAATGCCTGAGCATCTTGAAGGCAGTGACTGGGCATGTCAGGGTGTCAGGAACACCTGGGCCAGGGCCATAGATTAATCTGCCCAGGGACCCTCCTGGGGCAAGATGGGTGCCCTCCCTCCTGCAGCAGGGGGGAGCTCAGTGAGGAAAGCACGCCCAGAAACTGTCGGGGAAGCCTGTATGGTTGTCTCCCCCAGTGCTGACCCTTAGTCCAGGGAAGATGGGAGCTGAGAGGGGCTAAAATGATGCTAGAAGGAGGGTGATGGGGGAGCCGATGCTGGGGGCAGTCAAGGCCCCCACAACCCAGAGTTGCTCCTTCTCAAGGGGATCCCAAGAGAGGGCAGGGCTGGGTGGGAGCAGGGATTGTGTCAATCACAGTGTCAGGACTGTACCCATGACAAGAAAAGGGGACCTCAACCCAGAAACTAGAAAGCCAAGAGCACAGGGAGTGTCAGGACCTGCGGAGAAGGCAAGAGTTGTGAGGCAATGGAGAGAAAGGTCCTGTGTATCTTTCATCATCACCATCATCACCATAACAATATTACAACTACTAATATAAAGGAGTAACTTGAATTTACAGAGCTCCTACCATACTTCAGGTACTTTCCATACAGGAAATCCTCACAACAGTATTTCCACGTATTTGTCATTATTACTCACATTTGCAGATGAAGACTCTAAGGCTCAGAGAGTCTAAGGAACTTTTCAACTTGCTAAAAAAAAAAGCAGCAAAAGCCAGGATTCCAATCCCGGTGTACCTGACTTCAAAGTTCAGCCTCTTTCCACTTCCCAACTGTTTCTCTTAAAGAATGACTCACTCTTGATTCAAAGGACAAAGATGCCATGCAAATATCCTTTAACAATTTGCTTACTCTGAGTTAAAATGCATGGAAGTCAAAGGCAGATTGGGAAAATCAGCTGATGTTTAAGGGATGAGCAGTGAAAAAACCAGAAGCCTGGGTGCCAAAAAAAAAAAAAGAATGAGCTGTGGGAGGTACCCCACAGACCTGAAGGCCAGCCAGTCCTGTGCCCTCTGTTCTCTTACCCCCTCCCATCCTATCTCCCAACTGACTGGGCCAGATTTTGCAATGACCCTTCTCCATCTTCAGACTTGCCTGGGGAGGGAACATTCTGCTCTCTGAAAGGCTGGGACTTCCAGCTCCTGCCCCACTGGAAGCCAGCGACTGAAAGCCAGGCAGAGCCTGTTTCAAGTCCAAAGACTGGCTGTGTGGCCTCCTCCGGCATGTCTCCTAACCTCTCCGGGCCTCAATTGTCTTGTCTGTGAGATGGGCTAATACCTGACTTGTGCACGTGTAAAATGCCCTCAGTTATAAGATGCACCGTGATCTTATGTACCGCTGCAGAAAGGTTTCTAAAAGTGCTGCCAATTAAACTCTGAGTCAATACCGAGATGGCATGAACACTCAGAAACATCCAAATTGTGGTGATACAAAAATATGCAATGGATGTTTGTTTTAGAATTGATGACAGAGGGCCATGGTCCCCGCATCCAACTCTCAGCACAGTGCCTGGCGTGAAGCCATCATCCTGTGAATGGAAGCCAGATGGGGCTGCATTTTCTGTATTGTCTCTTGTTTATAGTGTCCCCACCAGAAGGCCCTCCATGCTCAGGGGTATCTTCCCAGTGCCCCACCCTGGTGAGCGCCCCTGGACACCTCCCCCCTTCACTCCCTGCTTCTCCCTCCCTGCTTCCTCCCCTCTCAGGAGCAGCTTCTCCCCAGGCAAGAGTGTGCTCCAGTCCCTTCAGAAATGGAGAGGGAAAAAAAAATATGATTTTAAAAGTTCTCGGGGAAGCTTTCTTTTTCTCTATTTTCGGTGAGCCTGTCAGACTCCTACCTGTTCTTTGAAAGTTAGAACATTAGCTGGGTCAGCAGGGGAGCGCATGCACTGCAGAGCTTCTGCACTTGGGCAAAACTTTTCTTCCTGCTGTGGCGAGACTGTGTCTTTGGTTCCATCCCCAGCTCTCCTCCACTGGCTCTCTGGATAGTGGGGCTGATTCATGTCTTGAAAGGCATTCACAGTCTGCCTGAAGGGGCGGAAGTCGAGTTGGGCAGTTCTCCAGCTCCTTGCAGCCCACAGAGCTGCAAGTAAGGACCCACCAAGCCTATACCCTGTCCTCGGGGCTTACACTGGAGCCGGTGGTCCGTCCACTGGCCCATCACACGCCTGACTCCTCCTAACTTTGATCTATGGACTCTGGACCCCTTGCTTCCCCTTGGCCAGAAATCAGGCAGGAGGGAGGGGCAATGATCCGCAGGGATGCTCCTGCAAAGGAGGGACACCCACTCCCCTCACACAGGTGGGTGGACACACTCAGTCTTGTCACCTGAGCTTTGCCAATAGCGTTCATCTGGGCCTTGCCCACAGGTGCATGTCCCCTGTAGGTACCACACACACCTCAGAGTTGGGAGATGCCTATCTGCCTCTCAAGAGCCTTTGGTTTCTTTCTCCCGAGACCACCGTGGGCGAGGGGTTACTACATGTTGAGCTATGCTCCCCGTGTGTGGATGCACAGAGACCTTTTCCTACTGCCCTGGAAACACTGTTCAAGAGACATGGAATGTTCTAGAGCCACAATTAACAGCTCCTAAGCCATGAAGATGCCAGACAGGGGAGTTGTAGGTGTCTCATTTTTTTTAAAAAACGAGCCGTATTTTTGCTTTTTGTTTGCCCACTGATGTTCCTTCTTTAGAAGACAAGGAGGAAGAAGTGGGTTTATATAAAAGAAGGCTGATGCCAAGTCCCCGAGCAGTTGAGGAATCCAGGAGGGCTCTCAACACTCAGCTAGAGCAGCCAGCCTGTGGTCCTGGAAGCAGGCCTGGCTGTGAAAGTGAAAGTCACTCAGTCCTGTCCCTTTTGAGACCTCATGGACTATACAGTCCATGGAATTCTCCAGGCCAGAATACAAGAGTGGGTAGCCTTTCCCTTCCCCAGAGGATCTTCCCAACCCAGGGATTGTACCCAGGTCTCCCACATTGCAGGCAGATTCCTTACCAGCTGAGCCACAAGAGAAGTCCTGCTGAGGGGGCTAGAAAGGCAAGAACTGGCTGACTTCAAGTTCTGAAGCCTGAGAGGGAGTCAATGGAGAAACTATGGCTTAAAATTAGAAGAGACTGAGATACAGAGAATGAACTTTTCCTTACCTGTCACGTGGGTCTTAGGGTACAGGTCAGATTGCCTTCTTGTCATTTTGAAATCCCCAAACCTCTGAAAACAGAAAGCCTCAACTTTTCCCCCTAAATTTTTGGCACAAAAACTCAGTGAGTGGTGAAGTCTGACCCGCATTAATAACAAGTAATGTATAACTTGTTTGTCCCACCAAAGGTGAAAATAGCCATGTGTTTGATCAAAGTGTGGTACTGCTGATCCTATGGGGGCATAATGGACTGTATACCCGTATTATTCTTTTTCTAAAATCTGAGAGGAAAAGGCTTAATTTTGAAACACAGCAGACCCCGAGAATTTTTGGCTAAGGGCCTGAGGACCTGCAATACCTTCTGCAAAAGATTATTCTAGAAATCTAATAAGATAACACAGGTAAAGCCCTTAACATAGAATTTGGCATCTAGTAGGAAATTCACTGCCCCTGGCCCCAAATGGTATCCCTAGCATGTTTGGACCTTGGACAGAAAGAGAGCTGAACATCCTTTTGAAAAGGGACCTTTTCCCTGAGGGAGCAATAGGGACTTCCTTTAACACCAGGATCCCCCTCGATCCCCCATATCATATTCCTCCCAGTGAACCAAGGTAACCACCCCACTAAGTCAGTTTCCAGAAAGAACATTGTATTGTACATGGCTTTCTCCCCCAGCTGCTTTAAGTTGCAATACTCCCTGTTGGTTATGAAGTTGAAAAATACATTCACATCTGTCCTTGATCTGGTAAGTCAAGAACGTGAAAACTCAGAAACACAAAGACATTCTTCCACGCTCCTTCGAAAGGGGCAGTTTCCATCAACTGTGCGGGCGAGTAAGAACTGCTTTACATATGTTTTTGATGCTGAAACTATAACATTTGACTTTCTTCTCCTGCCCCAAAGTGTTAACCAAATAAATAAGAATTAGATGGTGTTTGCGTAAACTTCGCTACATGACCTAAGATTCTTGTTTCTCTTCTGACTTCGGCATAAGGCTTAGCTACTTAATCCTTACACTTTAAAGCACATGTCCTACTTATTTATTTATTTTATCAAATCCATTTATGTGGCGAATAACCTCTTCCTCTGCAAATATACAAGCAAGGAGGTTGTTTTGTAGTCTTACCAGAGTGGAATGAACACTGGAGCTTTGTGGCTGTCTAGGGGTGGGGCCACTTCACTTATTATCTGATCAGTGTAGGTTCTTTTCTGTCTTCATAGACTTGGCCCCCTGACTTCTAGCCACTGGCCACCAGGGGGAATGGGCATAGGGTGACCAATGGACTTCACTTGTCTGAGACTGAAAGATTTTCTAGGCATGGAACTTTCAGCTGTAAAACTGAAAAATTCTGGATAAACAGGGACCAAGTGGTTTCCTGGGCATGGGCGAGAGGATGGGTGTGTCAAAGAAAGCTACCTCTTCCACTGGGTTGGAATGCCTGTGCCGTCTTTATTTCTGAAGAGGTGCATGAACACCTGGTCACACAAGCAGGGGATGGAAGGCAATGGAAGCTTCAGGGTGCAAGGACTTTGGCAGAAAGCCACTGTGAGTTGTGCAGGAGCAGCCCAGCCTCACCCCAACAGGTACCAGCCGTGAGGGGCCACGGGATAGGACACATCTCTGGAGAGCTTGGCAAAGACCTGGGGTGTCACAAGGAGGAGAAACCCACAGGACATATCTCTCCCACAATGCCAGAAGGGAACAAAAGTTCTCCCACCACAAACAAAAAAAAAACACAAATGACAACTGTGAATGATGGCACTGCCTCCCAGAAGAAGGCTGAAGAATGGGGTAAGGAAAGTCCAGAACAAACTTGAGATCACATTCTGAAAAGGCAAAAGTTCATCCCCAGAAGTTCATCTCAGACTGTTTTAAATCGCAGACATTAAGAATGTCCAGTATAAGGTTTTTATTTCTCATTGGTGAGAAAGATCTCTGTGTTAGATCAAGTTGACATTATTTAGAGGGGAAAGGTTACATTCTTAAGTCTTAGAGAATAAGTGTGGAAGCCCCTCCCCCACTGGCTTGATCATTATGACAACTTCTGTTACTTTTAAGATAAGGTCCAGATCTCTACCACAGATGCTGCATGACATCGTCCCTGCTTTGTCCCTTTCCAATCACATCTGGTACCATCGCCTCCCCTCCCTCTGCAGGCCCAGCACACTAGCCTGCTTCCTTCCCATCCCCCACTCCCCAATTTCGTCCTGTTTCAGGGCCTTTGCACCCCTCCTGATCCTTCTTCCTGAATACCTCCCTTACTTCTTTTCCTAGATCACTCTAATTTTCCCTCTTCATCCCACATTAAATGTCTTTTCCTTGGGGATGCAATTCATGACCTCTGAAATTAAGCATTTCTGCATCCCCAGTACCTGGCACAATGTGGAACACAAGGTTGATACTTAAAAAATATTTATCAGACTGACATAAGTTAAGAACTCCCAATAGTTCATTCCTCCTTACAAGGGATGTATAAACTGGCAAAAACTTCATCAGAATCAAATTTTTTTTGAATTCTGGAAATTAATCAAAAGCACGAAACAAGAGAATTGTGGTTGGTTGTTTTGATCTGTCAGGTGGCTTCCTGGAGGAGTAGTTTAAAGGGCTTGCCATTATCTTGCCTAACTTAGAACTCTCCCAGTGCTGAGATGGTTATCCAAAGGGCATTTGTCAAAGATACATAAGGACATGTACTAGTTCCTGCTAGCTGGACAGTGTATAACAGCTGGGGCAAACAATAGACTTTCCAAAAATTTGAGAAGAAAAGCTGGAGGATAAGATACTTTGAGAAATAAGGACTTTGAAAAGCTCTGGCATTTTCTTGAGAGTATTGAAGGCCACAGGCATACCAAGTGGTGGATCCATGCTCAGGAAAGAACTGAGACGTCTCTAAGGTCTTATACTTGGCTGACCTTAAATTGTTGCACAAAAGGAAGAAAAGGTTAAGGCAGAGTTGTCAGCTGCTTACCTGAGTGTTGAAGGCATGACCCGATAGGTATCAGAACTCATCTACAAAGACTGAGAGTTTGTTGTTTTTTTTTGTTCTAGACATCTAAGGACATCTCTTTCTACTCTCTGGCTGATTAGTAAGCCAGCGAAATAGAGACGTCAGTGATCACAATTGACAAAGAATACAGACTTTACAAAATTAATTCAGAAAAGTCATTAAACAACTACAACACATATAAATCTATAAACTGTGGGAGGGAAGATAATCTAATTTCCAGAATTGCCACATTAAAATGTTCAATGTCTGGTTTTCAACAAAAAAAATTACGAGGCATGCAAAGAAACAAAATGTATGGTTCATGCTCAGAAAGAAAAACAATCAATAGAAACTGTCCCTGAGAACACCTAGATGCTTGGTTTACTAGACCAAGACCCCATATCAAATATTTTAAATATGTTCAGAAAGCTAAAGAAAATCAGGAGAATGATGTATCACCAAATAGAGAATATCAATTAAGAGACAGAAATTATAAAAGGGAATCAAATGGAAATTCTCAAGTTGAAAATTACAATATTAGAAATTAATAATTCACTTGTTTTTTTAGTCATTAAGATGTGTCCAACTCTTTGCGACCTCTTGGACTGTAGCCAGGCAGGCTCCTCTCTCCGTGGGATTTCCCAGGCAAGAATACTGGAGTGGGTTACCATTTCTTTATCCAGGGGATCTTCCTGACCCAGGGATCAAACCCACACCTCCTGCATTGGCAGGCAGATGCTTTACTGCTGAGCCACCAAGAAAGTGAGCCATATATTATCATTGTATTATATTTATATCAGAAGGATTGTGGAAGATGTGTGTGTGTGTGTCTTTATCTTGTGGGCTGAAAAAAAAATTCACTAGGTGGGCTCAGTAGCACAGTTAAGCAGACAGAAGAAAGAA